TATAATATACAAGTTTCACTTTTTAAATGGAATTACTGAAATAAATCTACTTTTTCATGATATTCTAATTTTATGACCAGCACCTGTACACATGTGTGGTCCAACAGCCATCCAGCTTCAGAGTTCCACACACATCACCATATTAGGACACAAGAACACTTCAGGTACACCGTGACAAGATTTATGTACATCTGTTGTATAAAGAGCCCTGTACACCCCCACCTTTTGCCTTCTTTCTCCATCTTTCTTACTTGGCGAAATCATTTGGTGGGAGGCCACAATTTGGTTTTAGGCTGTATCTTCTTGAACTGCTATAATAAAGGTGCTTGCTGTTCAAACCAGACTGTTTCCAGAGTCATCTTTATCTGGGCAAACAGCAGTTCCACTTCAACAAGAAGACGTGGTTTTTTCTACACCTCAACTGCTTCAAAAATAAATTTGARCTTGCATCATCTAAACACCTTCTGTCTCTTTAAGAGAGTGTGGGTGGCTGTGGCTGGGTGTTTAGGGGAGTCATTCCTTTAATGCGAGAGATGGTGGTTCGATTCTCCACCATTCTGTCACATGTCGAAGTGTACTTGGGCAAGACACTGAAACCCCACTGATGTATGTCCCATCACTGTATAGATGTGATTTAAAACACTGTTTAGTCTCCATAGATTGATTTAGCTTATTTAGTGGTGGTGAATGTGTGTGAATGAGGACACAGCTTGTAAAGAGCTTTGAGAATTCTGGTTGGATAGAAAGGTGCTATATGTAGGAACCTCCTTCCGTTTCAGACACTCCCACTTCAGTACGTCTTCACAGCTGTGCTTCGGGGGAGAGGAGCTCAGCTGCAGACTGGACTCCAGGGAGGAGCTTTGTGTAAACAGGTGGAGCTTTGTAGCAGCAACTGTTTAAGCAGCTCCACGTGGCCACAGGAGATTCAAGGATTTCTCAAACATGCATGAATGAGTCAAAGCAACACTGTGGGTAGGTTTTTCATGAGGGAATGACTAGGCCTGTCACGATAACAAATTTTGCTGGGCGATT